AATCTTTTAATTTTTTACAACAGTGATTTCATACGATATTTGTCCTTTTGTGATTGACTCATTTCACTCAGCACAGTGTCCTCCAGTTTCATTCACGTTGTGAGGTGTTTTGCAGATTCATGGCTATTCTTCAAGGTTGCATAGTATTTCATTGTGTGTATGGACCAAATCTTGTTGGAACATTCTTCTGTTGATAGGCTGTCTCCATCTTTTTGCTATTGTGAATAGTGCTGTGGTAAATGTGTGTGCATACATCTAGTCGTGTCCCTGCTTTTATTTCTTGAGTAGTAGAGGGATTGCTGGGTCGAGTCCTGGTGTGGTGCTGTGAGTTAATGCACTAGACTGCAAAGCCATTTGAACTGCAAGGTCAGCAGTTCAAGCTCACCAATAACTCCTCGGAAACCGTATACAGGGTTGCTATGGGTCAGAACAGACTCGATGGTGCTTAACAAAAATAATGGTATTTCTATTTTCAACTTTTTGAGGAAGCGCCGTACTGTTTTCCACAGTGGTTGCACCATTTTAGAGTCTCATCAACAGTGCAGGAGGGTCCCCATCTCTCTATATCCTCACCAGAATTTGTCGTTTCCTGATGTTTCAGATTTTGCGTGTGTTTTTGTCGAACTTTGTCCTGGTGGCGCACTGTAGAATAAGCTTTGGATTGCCAGGTCATTTGAACTGCAAGACTGAGAGTTCAAACTTACCAGCCACTCCTTGGAAACCCTATGCAGAGTCGTTTTAAGTTGGAACTGACTTGACAGCACTTAACAACAACAACAATTAATGCTGGGGTCAAATGATATCTCATTGTTATTTTGATTTGCATCTCTCTAATGACTATTGATCATGAGCATTTTTTCACGTGTGCTGGCCGCCTGAATGTCTTCTTTGGTGAAGTGTCTATTTATGTCCACTGCCCATTTTAAAATTGGATTCTTTGTCTTCTTATTGAGTGTTGAAGTATTCCATAAATTTTTGAGAGTAGTCCTTTGATATATCATTGCTAAACATTTTTCTCCATTTGTGGTTCTCATTTTACTCTTTTGGTCAATTCCTTTGATGCACATAAGGGTTTAATTTTTAGGAGGAACATGACAAAGCTTTTTAAGAAAAAATAGTGGATCGTGGTCAAATCTTTCTAACTCCCACTTTCAGCTAATTTGATTCTTTCTTCTGATGTTACAGTTGCTAGTGCC